TGTGTGTGTGCATGCGAATATATATATTATGTGTGTGTGTGTGTGTGTGTGTGTTTGTGTGTGTGTGTGTGTGTGTGTGTGTGTGTGTGTGTATGTGTGTGTGTGTGTGTGTGCAGGCTAACTTGTTTTCAGGGCATAGAATCTACACCCCCCCCATTTGTCACGAGATACTAATACTGACTTGTTTACAAGATCTCAGACCTCGACAGATTACTTTTTTAATACCTTACCCCTCCCCCCTCCCGATCCCTACCCTAAAAAATAGAAAAGAAAGGAGACAAACAATGAGAATCGTTTTGTAATTATTTATTAAGGTATCTGTTATAATTATTATTATTATTACTATTACAATTGTTATTATGTAAGGAACTGAATAGGGATAAGTTCAATTAAAAATTGAAACTGAGTACATCATTCGTCATAGCCGTGGTGGGTTTCATGACCGGGCAAGATCTCTGGATTCTCCTGGTTGTTGTAGTACCGTTCCTGCTGCTGTGGGGGCGCGCTGTACCACCAAGAGGGAGGCTCGCAGTTTCTGAAGGGTCTGCAGTCCATGCGTCCATTGAGACAGAGGCAGCCCGAGCATCGGTTGGTGGATGGAATTATCTGGTTATGCTGGTAGTACTGTGAGGAAAACAACGACAGCACACACACATTCAGATTGAGTCCCGTGAATTTAATATTCTGCTTACGACAAGTTAAACATTGAAAATCTTCACTTTTTTTTGTATGGGTTTTTTTTTGGTGAGGAGAGGGGGGGGGGGGGAATTGTTCGTTCGTTGTTGTTGGGTTGTTTTTTTGACTTCTTCATGTGGATTTGATGAACAACTTTTCAGCTCTATTACAGTTGACTCTTACTTAAAAGTCGGCACGCCTACTTGGCTAGATGCTGTATTATTGTGTATTTTTTGTGTTGTTTTTTTCTTGTTTTCCACACTAGTCTTGCCTGTACTACAGCCATATCCTCCTATGCCAATTCTTCATTCTTTTTTTAAAATTGGTCAGGTATAATGCATGCTTGTAGCTTATTTTTTAAATGTTGAAAGTGCTTATGCTTACATAAAATATTTACATTTTAAAATAAGCTTGCTGCGACACTGCATTGACTTGCCTTACGATTTGCAAGTTTTGAAGGATCCTCTGGTGTCAGAACTTTACGCAGCCTTGTAATGAATGGTGTGTGGTTGGGTTTGAGGCGAAAGCTGAGTGTGTTTTACTGTTGTTGTGATAAGTTGAAGGCTTACGTGTGCTTTTTCATTTTTCGGTCGTTATGTACCCTTCTCCTCTTTCACCTCCTACCCTCGCCATCTGCCCTCCTCCTTTTCCTTCTTACACCTCCTCCTCTTCCTCCTCCTCCTCCTCCTTCTCCTCCTCCCCCTCCTCCTCTTCCTTCTCCTCCTCCTCCTCCTCCTCCTCCTCCTCCTCCTCCTCCTCCTCCTCCTCCTCCTCCTCCTCCAAATACCCCTTCATTTCTCTAAAGTAGTCATCTAGCTGTTAGAGACAAGATCGCCCATCAGACATGTTACTGGGCACCTGAATGGAAAAAGAAGAAGAGTTAGGCCTGCCAGCAGCTATAAGAGTTCGATCAGGGATGAGGCAACCCTAAAGCTAGAAGGAGTGGCCAGGGACAGACAGGCGTGGTGTCGACTGCACTCTGACGTGTGTACCTGACAGTAGAGGGAGGTAATAAGTAAGTCATATAGATCTAGATATTGATCTTTTTTTTCTTTTTTTTAAAGTAGGAACCATTTACTTACACGTCCATAAGCGAAGCAAGCTGTCTGCGATGCCAATGCGACATTCAACGTCACCATCAACACCATGAGACAACTAATCAAACGGATGCTTGTCATAGTTCTTGTGGTGTAGTTCAGAAAACAGATCTGGGAAAAAACAACAATAAAACAAACAACAACACATACGTACAAAATATAGGTCTATATAGAGACATGTCATTGTACATTTGACAAGGTAGATGAAGCACAATAAAATTGCCATCATGCTGCCTATTAGCCGCGTGGTTAGGTTGGCCGACTCGTAACCGTGAAGTTGCTGGTTCGTGGGTTCGAGGCTCAGGCCCGACGTTGTGTCTTTGGCAAATACACTTTACACGAATTTTCCTCATTTCACCCAGGTGGGAATTGGTACCCGGCGATAGACTGCCCGAGAGCTTGTCCGTATGTCAATTGTTTTAGCGACTGTAATATGGTGGCATCTTACACTGTGTGACTCCCAGGAAGTTGAGAATGTTTAATTATGTTATCAGGTCCGCTGGGGGTCCGGTAATAATATAGATTGTAAAGCCCACAGATGATTCCAAATGATTTATATCAGGACATTCTGTGAAAACATTATTATAATTCATTTCATGTTTCAATACCATAATTTGATTCATGACACTTTTAAGAGATTTGGACCTCTGCGGAGAATGTTTTGAAGAAGTCTTCATTGTTCACATTAATCACGTGAATCTTACCGGCGCTTTGTAGAAAGAATGTTCTGTCCCTTTTCCAACGTTTCTAAAGAGACAGGCATATTATGCGTCTTAAAACAACCTTAACAAAAAACTCCGGTGTCTATATCCCATGAGGAGTATGATGTACATCTCTGTGCCACACTGGGGATCTTGTTCGAGATTCTGAAGGTTTGGATAAGTTGAATCGATGGGACCCTTCTCAAACAATCTTGTTTCAATAGATCAAAGTTGTGTTGTTGTTTTTTGCTGTTGCTGTTGTTGTTGTTGTTGTTGTTTTTGTTGTTTTTGTTGTTGTTGTTGTTGTTGATGATGATGATGATGATGATGATGATGATGATGATGATGATGATGATGATGATGATGATGATGATGATGATGAAAAAAAATTTTTTTGGGAGGATGTGGACATAATATTATGATTACACCCAAGGTAGTTAAAAAAACCAAACTTGAACAACACTTCCGCACTCTTTGAGGGATCAACTTTTTGGGGCTCATGCATCGTTTTTAAACCGAGTAAGATAGGCTTCAAATTCCAGTAAGTAGAGATACTTTGCATATAACCACAAGACATATTAGTTGTTCTCAGCCTATCACATACGCGTGCTTCCCGATCTAAGCATTACATAAGAGCTAAATAAAATGATTAGATCTAAACAATGACTTGTATTTTCAAACATCATAATGTCCTTTTAAAAGGCCTTGACGGGAGACTTAATGATATCAAATGTTGTAGAGCAAACGCAATAATATCCGGTATTTTTGTTTGTTTCTTTTTTTCCTCTTTTTTCCGCCAATGACTTGTTGTCCGCAGTTTAGGGCCTCTCAGGCCCACACGATCAGCTTAGTTGGTATCATACTGGACTATGAAGCGGTTGACTCAGGTTTAAATCCTCTGCTGAACGTTCTAGAACTTGGGTTTTTAGGCGGTTTCCATGGTTCCTATCACTTTGTCTCGTCCTTTCGGGACAAACGTTACATTACATCAGAGGTTCTGCCTCTTAAATTGTGAATCACATTTCAATGAAACGAACGTTCATCCAACACCTTTCCTTAGCATACTTGATCAGATCATACACAGCCATGCAATTTTTCCTTAACTTTTTTTTGGTTTTTCCATGTCGGCAATAAGAAACCAGTATTTTTTACATCATGCTATTATTTCAGAACTTTTTGGCAAAAACTTGTATGTAAATGAATACGCCTGATGCATCTTTTCTCGCTACAATGACAAAATATTGTTGAAGCAGAAGGGAATAATACAGACGCATTGGAATTCTTTTAATTAGCTGAAATAAATTGAGTGATTAATCATATTATTCTGTTTACGGAAAAAACTACAAATTCCCAACATGAGCATCCAAATAATATAATATGAAAAAAAAAACGTTTTAGTTTTCGTTCTAAATGATTGTAGGAAGTAAAATGCTTGTCAACTGCTTACAAATTGGCTTTGCGGAGTCCTTTTACTATAGTGCGGTCAAAACTTCATGGCGCAACATATCCTCAAATATCTCCTTAACGAGTAAATCAATGTCGCCCTTATTTTGCACAGCACTGTGTATTAACTTAATCATATTTTTCCACAACAGTTGAGGCTATATTAAAGGCTATTTTTCATAAATTTATATAAAATACCACAAATCTCTGTCATGCGGAAAATGGGATGGTTCACAGCACTTCCCGCTTCCCACATTAATTTGAATACACATATTACGGTCTACGTCACAGCTAAACAATGACACTTATAGTGGAAAAACTTGCTACACGAAATTCATTTTATAGTGAACACATTTTTTACACAAAATGTTCTCAAAGCATGTGTTCTATAAGCTTAATGTAGCGATTAGAGAAAAAAATGACGGACTTGCTTTTAAAAGTGATATTGGCCCAGCCGTAAAGCTTTTAAAACTTGTAGAAACCACCCACTTGGATTTTCCATTAGTATTTATTAAGGAATTTTCCAGAATATAGCGTACATGTGTTTACAAAAATTTTGACCTGTTAAGACAAATTGATACCAGTCATTGTGCAAAAGTTGGAGAACCTTTGTGCGATAGTTGAAGAGATTATGAAATTTTGACCACACTATAATTATCCGTTTTCGCCTACATTTAACGCAGTATGTATGTTCAGTTACAGCTAAATGGTGTCCCCATTGTAATTTGGATTCTTTATAAGTTGGTGAGTCTCTGAAAGCCCAGCACTCTCAGAGTCTGAAAATTGTGCTCCCTCACCCCCTCCTTATCGCCCTCCTTGCCTACATTAGTATAGGAATAAATCACTGCTGTATCACTACACAACAAGCCATTCTATCCTTTTAATGCAAGCGTACATGAACTTTTCACCGATTGCAAGCGTACATATTGATGTACGTATGAGTTCTGTCTGCTCAGTAGCTAGTTTTGAGAAATTTTACGTAAACATTTTTTAGTTAAGTTTCACAACATGTCAAGCTTTTTCGAAAGCAATTATTTAAATATTTTGATAACGAGCCGGAAGAATCTTACAATTAAGATAGATTATTTGGTTTCTTCTGACCTCACGGTCTTAGTAAATCAAAACGGCCAAAAATGTCTGATAGAGCTTTGCAAATCTAAGGCAGTTACTTACCAACGAATAGAGCAGTCAGTGTAACGAAGTGCTTGGACAGCGTCTGAGTTTATATCAGCCCTGTCAAGGAAAAAATATGACTAATTATACCCAATTTTGGCTTCCAATTAACTAAAAAAAAAAATAAAATAAAAAAGACAAGAAAAAGAAAAAAAAGCACAACAGGCCAAGACCACACCAAGCACTTCTTTTTGTGTGTGTGCTTCCTGGGCTGACGGATAATAATATGAAACAGCTGCAGTCCCATTACAAGAGGCGCAACTTCCTCGCAGGTCGGGTGCTTCACATAATACGACTCTTTGGAGAAGCAGTCGCATTTCTTCTCTTTTCTTGACATCTGTCTGTCTGTCTGTCTGTCTGTCTGTCTGTCTGACTGTCTGTCTGTCTGTCTGTCTGTCTGTCTGTCTGTCTGTCTGTCTGTCTGTCTGTCTCTCTCTCTCCCTCTCTCTCTCTCTCTCTCTCTCTCTCTCTCTCTCTCTCTCTCATGTCTTCAATCTATCAACTGAGGTTTCGGTTTTGAAAAGTAAAGACTATCAAATACCTGGGCACTATGTCTGCCATTATCATGTTTACCAAGTGTCTAAAAAAGAAAACATGTCAACGTGAAGAAATCATCAAAC